AGCTTACAAAGAGACTGTTCTTCAGTAATGATTAGACTGAATAGACTAGATAGGCCTTTCTTTAGGAATCTGAGCAAAGTAAAAACTTTGGTTAAATATTTATTTTTTGATGTAATTTTTTTGCATGAGTTACTGTTTGCCTGTGAAAGCCTCAAATTATAAGATATATGTCTATCCAGCTGGATTGGTGCTTTTTCTCTACTCTTTTTGGATTAGATGAGGAGTGGTCCTTAATAAAAATTGGTTGTGTTAATTTTGCTAAATAATTCCCTTTCACCTTTTATTTATGTAAGTTGTAGCTACAAGAAAATTTTAAAGAAAACTAGAATGCAGCAATGTTAAGATAAATTGTTTCTTATAACATCTTGTAGTTGAATAAGACAGAAGAATACAGTTACTCAGTATCTCTCCTCTATATGTCTGTTTTGTTATTCCATGTACAGGGCATATTCCTGCTGGACTAGGAACATCAACAGTTAAGTAATAACATCACTAATTCTCTTAAAACAATCATGGTATTAGCAGTTAGAAGCACAAGGTATGGGAGTCAGCTCTCAGGTACCCAGTTGGGGTGAGAAAGTCTTGAAGTGCTGGCTGAGGTAGGAAATTTGTGGGTTTTCTCAAGAAGTTCAAACCTACATTTCCCCTCTTAGGATAACTCGCACAACACCCATCTAGAAGAGCGATCAGACCTGTATCCTGTCATAGCCATCTAACTCCTGACACTGGGTCAGAATTATCTTGCTGGTTAATGATTTGCATTAGGAATCCTTAAATTAGGAGTTTCGTGCCAACTCCAAAGTTTCGGAACAGAGCATGTTTCAGAATATATTTTTATAGCTTCTCAAGACACCATTCCCATAGCTACTTCCTCTGATTAATTAGATAGCAGAACTTCATGAATGACTTAACAGCAGGGTAGCTTGTACCTTCCTCTAGGAAAGAGATTAATAATGCAAAAAATGCAGAAATTACATATATAAGATGATACATATCTATATTTTATGTTTCAAATCTCTGAAAATCTGATGCTGAGTTTCAGTAGAGAAGCTGAATCATGCTATTGAAATAAGACTTGATTCATTTGGCATCCCCTGGTCAAACTAAAAAAAAAAAAAAAAGAAACTAATAGTAGCTTATATTCATGTTATTTCCGTTCATTTATGTTTAGTGAGAATTTTGTATAAAGTACACCTAAAAGCTGATCTTCTTTAATGGAAATCATTGATTTGGTCCCTACAGAGGAGAAACAGAGAAAGGAGAATCTTTTAAAGTGACAGCTGATTTCTCCAATCTGTTAATGATTCCCTTGGAGAGTTTTTGAAAGCATCCTGGAGACAAATGAATAAAAATTGCAGCATCAATATTTTTCTCTGGGAAAACACTATTGCTGCAAAATTTCTTGTTCCAGGCAGACTGGGAAGTATAATCTGCAAGTACTATTACTCCCTGCTACCAGAGACCACATAATGGGTACCATATTAGCTGAGAGAGCATTCCCAAGTCCTTATGTATTGAGCTCATTTGTCAGCAATTACTTTGTTGCTAGTCCAGTCAAGTTTAGAACATAAGTAAATAAGCAGGTGTAATGTCTGTGCTTTATTCAAGCTTGCAACTAGAGGCTACCCTGCTAAGCATCTTAGAGAGAGATGAGAGAACAAGCGTGGGAGTAACAAATGTGTAATTCTGATATAATGAAAAAGTAAGATTCTTTTTCACATTCAAATGTATTGCGAAGCATTTGTAAGATGTTTCAAAGACGCCTGCTAAATTCTAAAGGATCAAAACCTATAAGAATGCAAGGAATGAGATATTTGGGAGAAAGGTGGAAAAAAAGCGCATATCTTTGTTGAATACATTCTGGGATTCTGGAAGTTAAAATATGCAGATTTTTTTTGCTGGAAAATCAAAAGAACTTCTGACTTGATCTAAGAAGACATTTCTTTGCAAGCATTTCTTTCAAAGCTGTCTGTTCCTACAGCAGCAGGTTTCCTAATGCAGAGACAAAATTATAGCATTTAGCAAAAGAGAGACTCACCACTTTTCCAGAATCTCAGCTGAGAGGAAAGCTCAATTATCCATCCCTGCATTGCTGGAGCAGAGTAGGAAATTACAGGTGCAAGAGGAGCAGAAGTTGACCACAGTGCAATTGTTGTAAAGGAGAAGCAAAGTACACATGGTTATAGTTCTGTTGCCTTCTCTCTCCTTGATCTTCATGGCCACAATGTGTTTGCAAGGCTTGACTTCATGACCACATCTATACTGCCAAATGCAGACAACTCTGATTGAAATTGTCTGAGATAATGGGAAGGCTGTGATGGGGCCCAACAACAGGATGTTTTAAAGGCATGAAATTAAGGTAGGCATGGTGATTCCTAAAAGTAAATAGAGGTGAAGAAAAGGGTTCAAAACTTATGGAGATAGCTTGAGGGATGGTTGGGGCAAATGGGGCCAAATTTGATGCTGCCTCACTATACTGCTTACTATTTATGAACATGGGATTGCAAGGCCCAGAACAGCACCCAGGTGTCCTGGTAAAAATGTCCATTGCTCTTCTTGGCATTTCTTTCTCCTTAGCATTTCTGTAACTATAGGTGGAAGTCAGCAAAGCTACAGTATAGCATATTTCACTAGAGTATTCCACTAAGTTCACTTTAGGATTTTAGACTCACAACAAATAGCTGTAGAGCTATGGTATAAATTGCAAGAAGCTGGAATGAAATTCATAAGCCAATGGATATGCAAATTTTCTAAGTTTAATAAATAGATTATTGCCACATCCTGCTCTTATTCATCTTCATGAAAGGTATTGCAGTCTAGAAACTCATCTGCCCATAACTCAGAGAAATGAATTGTCACCTTAATCTCATCTAGTTTGTCAGAATTAACCCTGTAGATTTGTTACAAAGTTTTCCAGCATTAGCGATGAAACACTTGCACAGGTTTCTGCGTAAGGTTTATGCAACAAAAATCACCTTGAATTATGATAGCTAGTGGGTAAGGTACACATAAATAATTTCCATATTATTTTCAGTATCTTTTTCAAAACTTGCAGATGTCTTTCTGTCAGTGTTCTGCAGTCTGTTCTACAGCAAAAATTTGAGACATTTGAGTGCCCAATTTAAAATATTTTCATGCCGACATTGACAAAACTAGTTTTAAAGCTCAGCTGAAATGTTCTTTATAGATCCAAAAATCTGCTTGGACTATGAGATGATGTGGAACTGTATAATTGAAGTAGACATTCTTACAAAAGTGATCTTTTGTGCACTCGTATTTGGTACCATAACTCATCTGTGTAGCTTGACCTGTCTTTCCTGTTTTTAGCAGGCCTTGATGAAACCCATGTAGTGATTGCTCCTCATTTTCAGCTAGCAACTTAAACTTAAAACTTATGTAAAATATAATAACTATTTTCCTTTTTTTAATTCAACACAGACAGTAACTAAGACAGAAAACTTCTTTGTGATTGTAACTGGGAGAGGATATTCATAGAATTAATCTATAAACCAACTAACTATCTATCCGTAATTTTTCTTCTAAAGCATAGGTCATATTATTAAACAATTTGTTTATGGTTTAATTTCCAAGCCCTAAGTCAACAGAGTACTGCACTTATGAGAAGTTATCAGTAAATTTAAAATATGTTTTAAATATGTAAGCTCTGAGTTGCCCTGGGATTTCAATATTCATATTAAGACTCAAAATGGAAATTATTTAAAATACTTAATTTAGATCTATGAATATTTTAAAAGACTAATTTAACATGTAGGATGTAACACAGTACCTAAAGACTGTTTGCAAATCAGTGAAGTTAAATGAGGTGGTCTCTGTATTTTCATTTGAAGTTATTTTAAAATGTAGGTAATTTCTTGGGAGTACCACATGGAGCTTTTTAGCTTATGTTTTGTTAATTATAGCATATGTATAATTTTCAGTAATACAAATTACTTAGCTTTTATTATTTTCTTAACAGACTAAACTGATGAATCATAACATGTTCACATTAAGTACTGGCATGCCGTTTCAACAAAAAATGAGCACAAAAGCACAGACAATGCTCATATAAAATATTATAAGTAATCATCCATACAAAACCCCATTTATTGACATTGACATGTTAGGAAAAGACACAAGAATAGGGGAATTTATTTTAGAATTCTACTATGAAAGCCTCAATCATTCTCCCAAGTTACTATTCATGCTGTCAATAAATTCATATTTATCTGTCACAGAAATTGTTAATATTACAGTCCCAAGACTTTCTTTCAAAAAAGCGGCATATAATTACTGTGATTGATACACTTATGTCATAAGAAACAGAAATCTGAAGCAAGAGTTCTGAATTGTAAATATTACAGAAATCATTACAAATTACAGTTATAATAAACAATAATCCAGGTATCTGACTTTTTTTAATCCACAACTGATGAATGCTATCAATCATGCTGGCATCCATGTACTACTGTGAATGCAAGGAAGGAAACAATGATCAGCTGTGTAACATCAGCTCTTCCAGCTGCTGAACAGAGAAATTGCTGTATGGTATTTGTATAAACTTAACCATGCATTTGACAGCACTGTGCTGAATACAGCTGTGGTACTGCCTGGCTTTCCTCTCTTGGTCCAGCAAACGCTCTCCCAGAAAACACATGGGCACAAAATGCACCAGTGCATGGTTATGGTCATGAAAACTGTTATCATGCACATCAACCACGAGGATGTCTTCAGCTAGCTCTCCCTATCCTAGTACCTCCTTCTTTGGTCATAAACCAAACCTGACCATTTTCCATTATGTTTATTTTGTTCTTAGTTGAAAAGTTCTGAAATCATGAGAGTTTTTATAGTATGAAACTGAAAGTATGAATTCAAGCTGTCTTACAGCAGGCATTTCAAAATAAAGCAGCCTTCCAAAAGTCTTGTGTTATACATTCCAATCCAATGTACATGTGGCATATGTCATAAAGTATTTAAAATGCTACTAGATGGTGATGATTGGGGTTACAATTTCAAATTTTCTTTTTCTAGGGGAAAGCATGGCTTCAAAAGTGTGTTCTAAAAACTGACATACTGCATATTCTTGCTGCAATTAAAGAAAAAAAGAAGTGAGATATCTTTGTCTTTTAAAATAGCAATGCTAACATATTTAGTCAGTTTTTAATTAGCTTTGAGATATAAATAAGAGAAAACTAATAGCTACAACCCAAAATTTGTTATTAGAAACTGATTCTGATTACTATTTCATTTCCAAATTCCATCTAAACATTTCAAACAGGAGCCCTTTAAACCTTGATAGTCTCATACCAAACACTGATTTCCTCTGCCTTTGTATTTGTACTCTATGAGTGTCCTAGTTAGAACAGCTGGGCCCAGTTCATCACTGGATGGGTGCAACCCAAACCTGTGTATTCTATAGCCTTCCATGCCATTTCCCAGAAACTGTTGTCAATAGACTATTTGCACCCTCTGCCCAGAGCAGCCTGACTCCTCAGGCTACAAACTAGGTGTTAAGAGGCCTGCGAGATAGAAGGGTGTTTTTGTCCTCACGCCCATTGAGGAACCCCCCACCCTGAGGGAAGTACTGAGCATTCCTGCCTGAACTGGAGAATATATAATCTTGGAGTCTGGGGACTTTTTTTTACCACTCGTGGGATCCAGAGGAAGACTGCAGATCACCGCTCTCAACCAGACTGCAGACCACCACTCTCGACTGGACTGCAATCACCACTTTTCAACCAGACTGCAACAGCTCTCTCACCAACAGGTTTTTCCCCTCTCCCTTTACTCTGGACTCAGGGGCCCCAAGGAACACCACTCTGTTCATGCCCCTGGGTGCTGAGTTATACATTTGGGTTTTGTGGGTTAAAACCAAATTGCTTGTCCGTATAATCGTACTTATTGTATTATTTTATTAAATTGTCATTCTGACTTATAATCTCTCTTTTGGGTTGAGTTCATTTTCCCCTGCTGGTTTATCTTTAAACCAACACAATAAGAAAACATGAAATGTAGCAAAATTAGTTGAATAAGTATTGAATATTTTTTTGGTATGAACTGGAAAGTATACATAAGTGCACATATGTTATGTTATGTTTATTACAATTAGGGATAATTTGGCAGAGTTTCAAGACACTGTGAGGTTTCTGATAAACACAGAAATAGTCTTTTGTACTGGATTTTTCAAATAATCTAAATAAAACCAACAGTAATCTGTCAATGGTGTCCAATAAAAAAAAACTCTAATAAATATGTTAAAATAACAGGTTAAAGATTAAAATTACATATCAGATCAAAATATGTTATTGATTACAGCTGAGTTAATGTTGAGTAATTCATATAACTTGCTGAAGTCATTTGAATGAAAGCAGCTATAAAGGGATTTCACAAGATAGTTGCATCAATTGTCAAATAATGTGAGACTTCTCATGTTGCATATCAGGTATCAGTGTCTCTCCCTCAGCATCACAGTGGGGTAGAGAGGTGAGCAAAAGCTTGTCTACATAGAAGGTAAAATAGGTATAAAACCACATTGCAAACTGGAAGTTCAGGGATTCAACTAATGGAACAAATTCTATATGAGAAAGTTTTCTGGGATTCAACTTATGGAACAAATTCTGTATGAGAAAGTTTTCTGTCTTGTTTGAGACTTGTTTATGTATCAATATATATTGGAATATATTTAAAAAATTGTTAGAGGACTTACTGTTCTACTTCCATCCCAATTATTCTGTGGAAACTGAGGATGTTTGTGATACAAAGCAGCCTAGGAGACACAATTAGAGAGCAGAATCAGGGTCTCATTGTGCTAAACAACCAACAGATTAATCAAGCTGACAATTGAGAGGCAACTATTTGCATTTGAAAAAAGAGTGCAATGAATTTGTTATACTGAGGTCTTAATCCTTCTACTTCTAATCCTGCAGGTAGCTTAATTCAAGTCAATGGCATCGCTTGCCTCAGTAAAACAAGCAGGATTTAATTCTTCCTCAGTGCTGTGCATTAATTAAAATGAGGAGCAGAGACCACTAAAGGAGACATACAACAGGTTTGCCTTCAAGTCCTTTGTGTCTGCCTGAGAGGAAGAGAGATACTCAGAATTGCTGTTTTTCCTTTCAAAGGGCAGATTGTGCATGCTGTTCTTTTTACATTTCTGTCTTTCATCATGGAATAATGAAAGACTGCATTTTCTTCTACAAGGCTTGTTTGCACAGGGAAATTCACTAGTGCATTTATAGAAGGGTATAATCAGATCAGTGTAACAACCCATTGCTAATATGGTTATGCCAGAATAGTTACATCAAAAATTTCTCCATTTTAGACAGCACCTTTTTTCTGAAAGTATGAACATATGACATGTGGCTGCACTGCTATGCCTACAGAAGTCCTCATCCACACTGACCGGGATTATTTCCTACATAATTTAATTGTCCTCCTGCAAACTGGTTGAATCTCTCATTGAAGAAATACTCAATTTTATATTTTCACAGAGAGCTCCAACAATTGCCATGAAATCCCCTCTAGTTGGGCTTATCACAGGCACCCACTAAGCCTCCTGTCAATATAATTCAGGGAGTAATCCCAATCTAACAGGGAATTTGGGGTTGCATATGTCCACCATATAATCTGGACAATTATACGATCAGCTTTGACCTCTCTCCACAGTGATGCTTGTTAGACCTTTGCTCCCTTATCTCCAAAGCCACCACTTCCCTTCTGGCTAAGAACCAGAACTAACTCAAACCTTTTTGGCACTGCCGACAAATTTTGCAGAGAAACACATTTCAAGGAAGCTGGTGGGATCCCATGGGGACAAGAGAGGGTGGAGGAAGATCTGTAGGGCTCTAAGGAAACTACAGCCAGGACAAATGAATACCAAGAGAAAAGGGGTATGAGATGCTGTGAAAAGGTAAATCTTCCTCATTCATCTTCAAGGCCACTGTTCCCTTTTAGACCTTTTTCATTCCTGTGCTGGTCTGGACAACTAAGTTGCTTATAGCTTTTCACCGTCCAGAATTTCTCAAATTGTAGAAAAAGCAAAAGAGGCAAGGCTATCCCATTGAAGAAGGAAGGGATGTAAAGCACAGCAAAGCCATACAACCATACATACCATACAGCTGTAAGTTTATGTTCCTTGTGAGAAATAGAACACTGAACGGAAGAGACACAATTTTTCATGGTAAAACAGCTCCATCACCAGCTCAGGAACAAACCAGTCCATCTTGCCATAAAATAGCTACAGCATAATATATCCTGGAAAGCAGCTCTGTGGAGAATGACCTGGGGTCCTGGTAGACAACAAGCTGCCCATGAGCCAGTAGTGTGCCCTTGTGCCCAAGAAGGCTGATGGTATCCTGGGTTACATTAGGAAAAGCCTTTCCAGCAGGTTGAGGGAGGAAATCCTGCCCCCCTACTCAGCCCTAATGAGGCCACATGGGGAGTGCTCTGTCTGGTTTGGGGCAAAAGACAAGGACTACTGGAGAGGATCCAGTGGAGGGCTACCAAGCTGTTTAGAGGAATGGAGCATCTCTGTTATGAGGAAAGGCTGAGGGATTTGGGCCTGTTTAGCCTGGAGAAGAGATGATTGAGAGGGCATCTTATCAATGCATATAATATCTTAAGGGTGGATGTCAAAGAGATGAGGCCAGGCTCTTTTCAGTGGTGCCCAGCGACAGCACAAGGGGCAGCGGGGATAAACTGCAACACAGGAAGTTCCATCCGAATATGAGGGAAAAGTTCTTAACTATTAGGATGACAGAGCACTGGAACAGGCTGCCCAGAGAGGTTGTGGAGTCTCTCCCTTCAGACATTTAAAACACTCCTAGGTGTGATCCTGTGAAGCCTGTTGTAGGTGAACCTGCTTTAGCAGGGGCGTTGGACCAGATGAACTCCAGAGGTCCCTTCAACTCCCAACCATTCTCCCATTCTGTGATATAGGGGAGTCAGTCCCTACTTGTAACCAGTGGGCAAGAACTTCAAATGCAGTGGTATAAAAAAGAAAGGGAAAAAAACCCCCAACACCTTATCTAACCCTTATTTATCTTCTCTGCTCAGTAATTTTCCCCATATTATTTTTAACTCTTCATCTACAAGGCCAAAAAATATCTCCAAGGTAAGCTTCACACCTGCCATCACCATGACTCTCTACCAGCTGCTTTTAATTGTCAGGTTAGGCATAGGTGGAAGAGAAAATTAGAACCACTGTTAACTGTTTCTGGGCTGTTTTGTTATCGGACATGTACATCATATCATATGAGTCTACGTTTAATATTTATTAATTTTCAATGCTACAGTAACTAGGTTAAAAACAATAGGCTGGCACACTCAATGCCGTTATCCAATGTGATGTCTCAGCCCTGTAATTCTAACAAAAGGCAGGGGGAGGGGTATAGTGAATCATTTTAAGCTGTCCTTAAATAACAGAGAAGATAAAATGCAGATTTTTTTGTCTTGTCTTTTTTGTAGTAAACAACAGAGTAAATGTTCTTATAACTTAAGTGCGAATATAAAATTGGTGCAGTATCATAGCAACAGACAGAGGTTTGTGTCAATATTTGAATGATTATGAACATCCTTGTTCAGTGTGTTAGATACTGCTATGTCATAAGGAAAACCTACTAAAATAATGCTATAAAAGTAAGGTGTTGAAGCTGAGTATCTTAGATTCCTTAATGATAGCATTTATTTAGCACTGCAAGAGTGAATTCTTTTTCTCAAGAACCTTACTTAATGACAGAAAACAGATCACAAGAGTCCTGATATACCGGAACCAGAAACCCTCAGATATTTTTTGAAATTCTACTTGAAAATTTTCAAATCAATGTGCAAAGTAACATGTTTCAGGAATAAGTTTTCATGTTTACTGTTCAAACTGGGTGAATTGTCAACAAAATGTAATGGAAAAGCTTGCTTTATTGAAGTTTGTGGCAAAACCAGCATCTTTTGTAACATTGCATCTGTATTTGTCCAGAAACAGGGGTTCTGTGGTAGGCTGAATTTCCTTTTTTTAAATGATTTCTTGCACCAGGTTACTTAAATCTGTTTTGTCCAATTCTTAAATTTTGTGTGTTGTAACCAAGCAACATGACTAATATTTTGAAAAGCACCGAACTAGGTTCTTACACCAGGGCTAAATTCACAGAAAAATGTGCTGTTACAATATGTGCCTCGCAAGGACATTGCTGTGCAGTGAAATCCCTCTGTAGCACCATGACATAGGAGCACCATGCACACTAGGAGAGGTATTTATATGCCTATGTGTTTGTGTGTGCCTGTGTGTATAGAGCTAGGGCTTGGAGCATAAACCCCCCACAAGTCAAATAAAGAGCTATTACAGCTGGTTGGTAAGACATAAGGGAGGAAAGATATCCTAAAAATGACAGTAATATAACCATGGGTTACATAAAGTACCTGCATTAGGATCCAGAGTAATGAACCTAATTATAGTCCAGGCTTCATTTGTGTGCTGACATTCCCTGTCACATGTTGTTTTATTCAAAATAAAAAACATTTAGCAGAAAGGGTTGATGGTATTCCCTCTTTCCATGCTAACCTTCGTACTGTTTAAAAAATAGAAATGGTTATGAGGAACATAGAGAATGCAGCCAAAATCACCTAACACTGTATTTTAAGAAACAGGAATGATGTTTGAGACATGTTTTTAATTTGTAGGAATCAGTAAATATTTCCCAGTGGTGAATTCTGACTGGTGAGAGGCACTTGCTCCAGCTGTGTACAAGCCTCTGCTAGTTCAACCAGAAGGACAGCCAAACAAGAGTACTGTTCTTCTTCAGCAGGAAGTTTGGAGGAAGAAAAAGCGTCCCTATACCTTTGCCCTAGTAACTTTATCAGTTTTTCCTAAAAATTCATGAAAACTTGTACTCTGACCACATCAGACTAGTTAGGGCTTGCCAGCACATCTATGGTTAGCCTATGAGCACTAGTTAAGGAAGGGAATCTCACCACTTCATCCTGTTTTGGCAATGAGTGCCAGTTTTTAAGTTCTAGTCTCTCTGAATATGTCTGTTTTGTAAAATACTGATTGCTGACTTTGGGGGCTTATTGCTGGCCTTGGGGTCAAAAGGCATGGAATGGCTGAAAGCCATGCTGCTCAGGGTTAGCTTTCTCTATGGCAAAATGATTTGGGCTAAATATGTCCCATATAGAGTATAGGGAGTAGGTAATGCATAGGCAGCGTGGACAGCTGGGGTCCATGAATTAGCAGTGGGGCTTCAATGGTGTTTTAGTCCTTCCACCTTCTTAAAATATAGTACTGGCACTTCTAAAGTGCTTTGAAAATTGTATAACTTCCCCTAACAGAGGAGAGACTTTAAATAAGGATCTAGAGTGCTGATTTTTTTTGAGCTACAGTGTCTTGATCTGATTCTAAACTAAAACGTTGATTTTTCTAATGATGTGGGCCAAAGTTATCTAATATGCTCCTTTATAGAAGCTCTGGCAAATATAGAAAATCCAAGAGAAAGATAATAGAAAGGCTAAATAGGATATGCATGGAATGCCTTAATTTCACTACAAGCTGGGCTAATTAACTCTAATTCCTTTTAATGAAAGGAGTGATAAATAAAGTAGTATTCAAGCTCTTTTCTCTTATCCTTTACTTGCTTCAATGTTAGTATTACTCTATTGTCTTTCTCCCCTGATTTTCATAGATGTAAGAGAAGAATCAGGCCCTTTCTTTTTAAGGAGAAAATTCTTGAAATCAGAACTCTACTCTTGCACTGAAAATCAGCACAGCACAGGAAAGAC